TTTAGAGTATTAAAACATTTCTCCTTAGGTCTCAGTATTGTGATGTGAAATGCTTAACTAATTAGAATAACACATTAAACAACCTTTTGGACAGTAACTGTGACTAACAAGCAAGCACTGGAACACAAAACACCAGCCATGATGCTGGAAGGAAATTATGAAATGGAGTCTCACTTAGTTTGGTCATATCATGTATGGAAATTCACTGGAGAAAGCAGTTATATTTGGAAGAGTTAGCGGTAAAAGTAAAACAGGCCACCAAAAAATGCCATGGCTTGACACTAAAAAAAGTGACAGCAGCTGGGGCATAAAACAGCTCAAAAATGTAGTGCAGGATCAGAAGGTGTGGAGAGACCTGGCCCATAGAATTCCAAGCGTCGTTTCTGACTCAATGGATATGGATCCTTATTATATATTGGCTAGATCACACCTGAATATTGCATCCAGCCTCAGAGATAATCCAATACATAAAGTAACAGGATATAAGATGCAGGCAGGGACAGCATACACTGAATGACACCACCAAGTAGTTGGAACAGGAACATAAGCACAGAGTATGGGCTAAACCTTCTAAAACCCAGTTGTGATATTCCACACAAAGTTGTGGAGAATAATAGGGCTAAGAGCCTCTGGGACTTCCAGATCAAAGCAGACATGCAGGTCCTGGCCAATGAACCAGACATAGAGTTCATGGAGAAGTAGACAGAGGTGGGGATAGATGAAGCAGTGTCCAATGGACCAGAAGTTGCCTTCAGAAGTTGTGGGAGCTTCATCGCTGGAAGCTTTCAAGAAGAGAATGGACTGCCATCTGTCAAAAATGGTGTAGGGTCTGCTTGGGTGGTGTGTTGGACTTAATGACCTACAAGGTCCCTTCCAACTCTGTTAATCTGTATCTGTAAATGACAGCAAGATCAGGAAGAAGGAGGATGGAACACTGGAAAAGTCCCAGGGTCTAAAGGATGAACTGGAGAGGATGTGGAAAGTCAAGGTGAAAGTGGTCCTAGTGGTAGGGATATTTTGGGCGGTGACTCCTAAACTGGAAAAGGAGCTCCAGCAGATCCCAGGAACAACAGTAGAGTTCTAGGCCCAGAAGAATGAAGTGAACAGCTAAGATACTGTGTCCATCCTTGTCTTAACTGACTCAATGGCAATTGTGGAGGAGAGATCACACCCTGGATGTTCTTTATGTGAGGTGCCACAGGGGCCAGTGCTGGCCCCTCTCCTATTCCACCTCTGCATGAGACCCCAGGGTAACCTCATCCATCTCCATGTGGTGAGGTATCCTCAAAAT